TCCTCAGCTGAAGTGTGACATCGATAGTACGTACCACACCCTGAGAGGGTCATATCACTACACGGTGGAATTCATTAACAGGGAGAGGTTCCATTCAATCAATGTCCAGGAGACCTGGGATCACTGTTACCACTTTCCATGGGTGTGTGCCCACCATCCTAGCAGCTGTCATGGCACCTATGTCCTGGAGCACTCTCATGTACCTGGTGTGTTTAAGGGTTCAGGTGTTTTACAAGGTTGGTTACTGGGCACAAGGGTTACGTACTGCGACCATGGATAATGTCACCATTGTGTAGTACCTGACTGATGAGCAGCACAGATATAATACTGCCCCTGCTTCGACCAGGACCATGGTGGAACAGACAATGAGGCTGCTGAAGATATGATTCCACTGCATGGTGTGGTCTGGGGTGCCCTACAGTATAGTCCGTATGGAGTGAACCACCCATCATCCTGACGTGCTGTGCTCAGCACTATTGGAGCATAAAGTAAGGCGATGTGCTGGATGCTGAGGAAGTGGAGAAATGGAAACAGTCTTCCAATGAAGACATTGGGAATGAGCAAGCTTCCCTTGGCCATAAGAGATTTCAGCTACATTGAGGACTATAAACCTGACCTGATTGACACCCACTTTCAGTGGATGTCAGACAACTGTGGACTGTAAAATAGTCATTGATCATCATGCCAGTATTTTGATTGCCTTGTGGAGGTAAACTATAGCCTCTATTCTTTTTATGTGTTTACATTTAGCAATTGTTAATAAAAGCTCTTCATTGGAATTGTCTAATTAGTTCCCTATCTTTAAACCCCCCAACTCTCACTGGACAATGATGAGATACTGGTCTACAGTGGGAACTGGGGACAGAGCAGCAGTCACCCAGATAAGGTAGGAAATGGGATATAGCTAAGGACAGCTTAGCTGCATAGCCTGGTGATTAGACAGAGAATGGGGCACCAAAGTGGAGTCATATGTGCGATGAACAGTCTGCCATACGAGTTATGAGCAGAAATGAACAGATGAATAAGAATAGTTTTCTTATTCATCCATATGTTGTGGTTATCGCTGGTGAATTACTCACCAGAGAGTTCCTTGCCTTTAACCTGTTCTTGTACTATTGCTGGAATGTTGTCATGACCCATAGCCTTTGCACTATCTAGTGCTTTCATCTGTTTCTTGACATCATGTGGAGTGATTCAAGTTGGCTGAAGGCTAACATCTGTGATAGTAGGACATCAGAGGAGGCCAAAATGGTTCATTTGCTCAGCATTTCTGGTTGAAGATGCTTGTAAATACCAAGCCTTAACTTTTGTCTTGACATACAGTGTTATCCCAACATCGAGGATTAGGATACTTGTTGTGCCTCCTCCTTGGTGAGTTTATTAATTGTCCACTATTATTTGTGACTGGAGGTGACAGTACAGAGACCTAATGTTTGGTCTGTTGCTTGTGGGACTACTTAGTTCAGTTTATTGCGTGTTGCTGAAACTGCTTGCTATGCAAGTAGCTGTGTGTTGTAGCTTCACCAGGTTGACACCTTGTTTTCAGTATGCCTGCTGTTCCTGCCTGCATTTCTAGACACTTTGTTGAACTAAGGTTCATTTCCTGGTATGCTCATATTGGTAGAGTGGGGGATTTGCTAGGCCATGAGATTACAGTTTGTAGTTGAATACAATTCTGCTGCTGCAGATAGGATGCAGTACCACATGGATGCCCGGTTTTGAGTTGCTGGACCTTTTAGCACTGTGGTAGTTTCACACAGTATAGTGGACGTTATCAACAATGTGAAGGCTTGACTTGTCCCCAGAAGGACTGTGTGATGGTCACTCCTACTGCCACTGTCATGGAGAAATTGCATCTGCTATAGAAAGATTGTTGAGGATCAGGCAAAGTGTGTTTTCCCGTTTGTTGATTGCCTCACCATCTGCTGCCGAACACATTTAGTTGCTCTTCCTTTGGAATCAGCCAGCTCAGTCAGCAATGGCACCACCAAGTCACTCTTGCTCATGGATTTTGGATTCCCTCATTCAGAGTGCATTCTGAACCTTTGTCACCTTCAATACTCTTTGTGATGTACAACATGGAGAAGTATTGATTTGCCTTTGGAGGGACTATGTTAGGTTGTAATCAGCAGGAGGATTCCTTGCCTATGTTTGACCTGATAGCATGAAACTTCATGGGATCCAGGGTCAACAGTGAGGACTCCCTGCCCTGATTGCATACCACTGTGCCACCACCACTGTATGTCTGTGCCATCGGTGGGAGGACATACCCAGAGGTGATGATAGTGGTATCTGGGACATTGGTCATGCTCATAGGATGATACTGTACTGACGGGCAGTTTTCTGACTAGTCTGTGGACAACTCTCCAAAACTGGCACAAGTTATCAGATGTTAGTAACCAAGATTTTGCAGAGTGAATGGGGCTGTGTGGGCATTTGGTGCCTAGGTTGATGCTGGCAGGCCTAGTGGATTTAATTCCTTTTATAAGACTTTGTAGCTGGATGATACATCTGAGTAACTTCCTAGGCCATTTAAAAGTCAGCCATACTCTGGAATCACATGTTCACAAGACTAGATGAGAATGGCTGATTTCCATTGGTCCTGAGTGAGGTAGATTTTGTTTTAATGACAACCATGTTTTCATAGTTAGAATAGTTTTTAATTTCTGATTTATTAATTGGATTCAAAATTCACTATCTGACATTATGGGATTTGAACACAGAGCAGTAGCCTGGATCACAAGCTCAATGACAGTACCACTGCACCACTAGCTTCCACAACCTGGCTGACGAAGAGAGGAAATAAACGCAGACATAATTTCCATTTGCTATCCAATATTCCATACTGGAAAATGTACATTTGGCTGCCTGAAGAGAATAGCACATAACTTGGCTTCCATAGACAAATACTATTTGCCATACTATATTGGAGAAAATTACTGCAGATGCTAAAATCTGAACTGAAAACAAAAAGTGCTGGATGTCACAGCTATTCAGGCAGCATCCATGGAAAGAGGGCAAGCTAACATTTCGAGCCTAGACGACTCTTCATCACAGTTAGGTCTATATGGGGCTAATTGAATGAAGCAGGAGAGCATAATTGTGCCTGACAATGGTACTCAAGGAATGGCCAATATTTATTTGAAGGTTGAGTAAAAAGTTAATTTTAAAAAATATAATGCAACATCAAAAGAAACATTTTAAAACATACTTTTGCTTCCTTTGCCTACAGGCAATGTCAAAACAATTTGGATGGAGAAGCCTGAAAAATGGGTATTTCAGTTGTCAGTTAGCAGGTGTTTTATAGAGGACAATAGGAGATGCCATTTGAGATCCAAACAACATTCTGGTCATTTAGAAACATGTTGGTAAAATAATTAATCAAGTTGAAGCCAATGTAAATGGTATTTGATGGCAGTTACAGAAAGAAAGGACGTGACATTATTATTTCAGCCTTTAATTATGCTACGAGTTATCAGTATTGTGTATTGCGGAAGGCATATCAAAAAAAGCTCTATTTTTACTCTTGATTTATTTTTGGTTGGTTCATCAGTCAAAAGGGACAGCAATTAAATAACAAACAACAGGGTAAACACAGGAAGGATGTTCCCAATGATCAGGGAGTCCAGAACCAGGGGTCACAGGTTAAGGATACGGGGCAAGTCATTTAGGACTGAGATGGGGAGAAATATTTTCACCTAGAGATTGGTGATCTTGTGGAATTCTCTGGTGCATAAAGTGGTTGAAGCCAAAATATTGAATGTTTTCAAGGAGTTACATATAGTTTTAGGGTTAAAGGAATCAAAAGGTCTGGGGAGAAAGTGGGAGCAGGGACTGAGTTGGATGATCAACCATGATCATATCAGGCTCAAAGGGCTGAATGGCCCACTCCTGCTTCAATTTTCTGTTCCTACAGTGACCGTGTTTATCTGATAGAATGAAAAAATAAATAAAAACTCTTATTAGTACAGTAGTTAATCTAGTAACTCTTGAAGTCATGCAAGCAAGGGATATCCATGACCGATTGGCAGTATTTGCTGAATTAATTGAGTTTAGCGGGTGACAATGGAAGTGCTCTATGACATTTACACCAGTCACCTCTGAGGTACCCACTGAACGCCTATTTTAAGGAATGCATGAACATCTGAGTTGCAAGCCAGTAATTTCTAACCTTTTCCCCTTGGGTTGACCTATGACCTCAGACAACATGTCAATAATAATTTTGTGCTGGAAAAAATGGTATTTCAAAAAATTTGGTAAGATGTTCTACTCCTGATCACTACTACTGTCTTTACAGAAAGGGCACATGCATGGGTATCATGTGAGAACAGGACCAGGAGATTGGTTACATTGGTGGTAAATCAGGGCCAATCACACTCAATGACATGAGAAGCATGTGGATACTGACCTTTTGGTCAACAGAATGAATAATGACCAATGTCCAGGAATTGCAAGAGCAAGCATGCAACAAAGTTTGACAAAAAGTTGTGGATGTTGGGGGAGTGGAGGAATGGGGGAAATGAACATTTTCAAAACTGAAACCTAGCATCTGTTTTCAATCAGATCTATCTATAGTCTCTCCCTCCACAAACTGGTGTTTCGTTTCTCAAATAGAGCAAGCAAATCATACAGGGAAGGTTTTCTCCATCCTGGTATAGACCATGTATGTACAAGCAACACTTGGTTACATAGTTTAAAAAGTTAAGCACACTATTCCAGAACTAAATACTCTTGTCTACTTTAACAAGGAACATGTTAAGTGGATAATTCTGAGAAAAAAACTGGTGTTTGGTATGAATGTCCGGTATCTATTGCTGCACTGTAGGCAGTCTCAAACTTGCGTACTGAATTTTATGGTGCCTAAGTCATCAAGGAAAAAGTTTCCGCAACAGCACGATGGTGTATCCTCCAAATTGTGGGCAGACAATATATACTGCAGTACCTTGAAACAAACACACATTTGCCAAACCTTTTTTTAAAATATTTATTCAGAAGCCAAGTTATCTATAAAAATCTTAATACTAAAATGCTTTTACATAGAGATCGTGTCCATAAAACTTTTTTTTTAGTGTTTACACAAAAACTGAGACCATAGTCATACTTTACACATTTACAATAGGGTTTTTACTACATTTAAACACTTTTTTTTAGAATAACAGTTCCTTCCATTTCAACAAAAACTGAAAACAAAATAAAAACAAAAATCAACAAGCTTAAAAAAAAAGCTCTCCTGGGTTTTCAGTTTCAAAATATTTTAATATCTAGTAAATAACTCTGTAATATTGTAGTTTTTATTGTATAATTTTTTTTAAAACTTCTCCTAACCACTTGTAGGATTAAAACACTATTCAGCAAGTCTCAGACGGGCCTGCGTCTTACTTGCCCATTTATTTCTCATGATGCATCACAATTCCAGTCCCCAGAAGCTCTCACTTTACAAGCAAAAAAAGTGAAACCTCAGCCATCAGTGAGGAAGTATTGCACTTGTGTCACTGGACTGAACAAATAGGTAATACAACGCCTAGCAGATTGGTCCAATGGTGACATCACATAAAGTACCAGATGGAGTACAGCTGAACCTCCTATTGTGTGTGTGTGCGTGTGTGTGTGTGTGTGTGTATGGTGGGGGTGGTGATGCAGGGGATGGGAGGTTATGTTCCCATTCTTTTCCACTCTGCACTTCTTTAACCTTAAATACAAGGCCGTCTCAAATCAAACCAATCCCTTTCACATAGAGCTGGGTCCCCTAGGTTAGGTCCCAGTTAGAACTGCTTCAGTTTCCCATTTGAAGTACAGAATGGAACAGGAAATTCTGTGACACAGAGGTAAAAGATTCTTGCACACAAGTGACAGTCAACATAGCCCAGCTCACATGACCGTGGAAATTAAAATCCACCTTGTTCATACGCATATATATAGATATATATTACATTGTTTCAAGAGTTGTGACTTTAAGGGTTATGCAATGAACGCTTTGAAACTGATCTTGCATGTCTCTCCTCCAGTCACCTGCACCCACCACCCCTACCACCGCTACAGAAATGCACGAACGTCTGACTTGCAAGTCAGAAATTCCTAACAAAATTACCTCGTTCCCCCAGAGCTGACCTTTGACCTTTCCAGACGACAGGTCAATAATAATTTTGTTCAGGAAAAGTATACAGCTTTTTTTGAAAGAAAAACCTTCCTGTTATTCGTTCTTGTATAAAAATGTTCTTCATTCAGTATATGTAAAACAGCCCGAAGCATCATGGGAATCTGGTTCTCTTTATCTTTCAGCTGTTGCTATGGAGTCTCAGATCTCCATGTTTCGCTAAAACCACCTAGTTGATTGATGAGGTTGACCTATTGAAAATACAGGATATACGATTGTGATGTCACACTGCACCAGTCTATATGCAGGAAGGTCACTAAGTGAACGTTCAAAAGCCAAAGATTAGTCTCACAAAAAAAAAGCATCCTGCAATTTATCTTAAATACATTTCTGATAATATAAACAGGCAAACTCAAATAATTCTTCTGGAGGGCAGCCATGTTACACAAAACAAAGGAAGATCATGCCTAAGCCAGGTTGAGTTTCTATAGCATGATACTATTAGAAAGGTTGAGGCATACATATGGCTCTGCATGATGCTCATATCAAAATGTTAAGAACAAAAAATCCCCAAGAACTGAGATGCAACAGTAATATATGCTGTATATATATAAAAAACCCCTCTTTTTACAACATATTAGTGTTTCAAAACAAAATACTACACTGATTCTATGCCAAGCAATAACAAACAACATGAATTCAAACTATTAAACACCTTTTGTAAACTGTGGTTGTGATTTTTTTTTCTTGAGACAGTGTCCCTTTTGTGGTAACTATGCAGGGTTACCAACAAGCTCGAATTTAGTGCCAGTCTACAACAAGAGTCAAGTCAAACTGTTCCTTTTAAACATTCTAATGCCATACCTCACCATGAGACCACATGTGGGAAATGACAAGGTGGAGGGGGTGGGAAAGAAAACATCACAATATTAAACAGTGTATATGCTAAGCATTTCCAATCATTGTTCCACCTCTACATCTCAAACAGGACATAATTTCTTCTTTTATTAAAATACTGTGGGATTTTTTTTGTGGTCAGCATGAACTGTCCAAACAAAGGCTATAGCTAGCACCTTTCCAAAGTTAAACCAGTATTAACAAAAAATTATAGGACATGTCTTGAAAGCTATTATACTATATTGCAAAATATACACAAATGTCCTCATGGGAGATTTCTTGTTCCGAGAGACAGGCTGACAATATTGTCGCAGTCCAGACATTGGATTTGTGGCAACATGATATCACTACAGTGCTGATCTTTGCAGTCTAAGTTTCACACTATTATTTCCAGTTTTACAATGGATGTTGTTGACAGTGCAGTATCAAAATTGTTTTTTTTAGTAGTAGTCCATGCCTACTTGATCTCAACAGCATAGGATTACCTGCTTGCAGCTAATTAAAGATCAAATCGAGCACTCCCTTGTGGTTTAACAAGATAAATTGTAGGATTTTCCTAAATCCGACCACATGAACGCACTTTCTAACATTCAGCTAACTTAACAGCTTTAGCGTTTTTTACACTTCCTGAATGCAGTTTCAACAAGAATTAGTACAACAATTAATTCACACTAAATGCGGCAAATAGTTTTAACACTATAATATAAATTACATCAGGTGAAGGGGCTTTAAAGGGAACCCATTTCCTTACACTGATTGTCCTAGAGAGCCATTTCTTCTAATGATTGGTCATAATGCTGAAGTGCTAAATAGTATTCCGTTTTAATTTTAAAGACAAATGTATCGTTCTGCTCTGACCACGCCAGTGGGAGATTTGTCTATATGGTGTTTAATTCTAACTGCAAAGTGCTTTGGTTTTTAAAGCAGTGAAATATCTTTTTGGATCCCTTTGCTTTACTTCAACTCAAATGTACCTAATTTCCACTTTGGGGCACTTCAGTTATTTTTCCAATCCTATGTGGATTTATTGAAACCAGTTACGAGCCTATGTTAACAACAGCAACTGCTGGGGTAAAAACGAGATCAATGCCAGTGTGGGCACTGTGTATAAGACTACTACAGCCTCAATATCATTTTATATCTCCACCATTGTTCTTTCAGTCCAGGATCTGAGGCTGTATCAATGGCGAAGAGGTAATATATATTATCAAACTGATCGAAAGCACAGCTGACAGGCAGTCAGGTAAGCTAGTATGCATGTGTTCTGAATTGCTGGGCCTTGGAGTGGTCGCACATAGGTTCTCCACCCTTCCTCATTTGAGGAGTGCCAATCCCATCAGGGGAAGTGCCAACAAGCAGCAAGGCATTCTGTCTGGAATCAGACTGTTCAACTTGCCACTTTTGGAGGTGAGTCAGTTGACATCATTCACATGCGTTCCTCAGTCAGTGTTTTAATAAGAACGTGGAAAGAGAGGGAGTTGAGGATGGTATTGGGATCAACGGAGACAGGAGAAGACAGGGTTATTAGGGGTTGTAGACATAACGAATAACCTATTTCTATTGTACATTAACAACTTGTGAAAAGCTTTCACACTTTGACAATAACGGGCGCAAGTGAGTTACAAACACTGCTCCCAGTCTTGAACTCATCTTCACTGTTAAAAAGAACCTACTGGTTTTTAAAAGTTCTGTTTATTGGAATGAGGTGATGATTGAATTAATTCTGGAATGGTAGGTACAGCTGGCACCCATTACATAATAATTCACTGAATGAATGATTTTTCTATTTCACATGAGTGAATAATCAACTGCAGGGCCAGTGAGAATAATGCTAACTCCACTCCAATCATAAGCTTCAGATTTTCAAAAGTCCTTTTTTCCGTTCCAAGTGATAATATCATGAGAACTTTGTGAAGTTTCTTGGACCGCTGCTTATTTACCTACTTAAGAGAGCTCCTTAGCTTATAATTGGTAAAGCATTTCCATTCAGAGGCAGTTTTTCAGTCAGCACTATTTTCATACTGAGTGTAACAGTCGCCAATTACATCACAACAAGCAGAAGAAGCCACAAATCACAGTCATCTTGATTACCAGGGTATTACTTGCTATTGAGGGTTTGTGACATTATTTTTCCTCAAAGACGTGGGAACATTTTGAAGTCATCACAGTATAGGGTCCAAAAAAAATGTTACTTAAACAGTCTGAGGAGGTCTAATAAAATTGGGTCTGGAATGGACTGAAAAACAAAAAATGCTGCAAGTTGCTCAGAGCCTGAAAGAAAAAAAATGTTAATTTGTGAAGGGGTAGTGACTTCATCAGATCCTAATGATCAAATACACTGTGCCCCCTGAAATATTTGTGTTCTTTTTCTTTCAGGTTCCAATTAGCCTGCTGCGTTTTCTGATGTAAGGTGTGTGATTGATTTATATTTTAATATCATTTATTTTAGAGTTTGAGTCAGTGGCTTGTGAGTTTTGGTCTGTTTATCTGAAACAGTTTAAAGATTAACTTGTAGCTACTTCTAAAACACATTTTTAGACAGTATTTTAAACAGTTTTAGAGAGAGACTTTCTGCAGAGTAATGCGCTTCTGTTACCTTGGGAGAGTTTATGAATGAACAAACAAAACAGTGCAGTGCACTAGGTTTTCTGATAGAAGACTCAGGAGCATTTTTTTGGGCTGAAAGGACACACACAAACCATGATGAAAAAAATGTGGGTTTCAGTTTGGCAGTTTTGTAGAAATCTTGGCTGGAACTAGATGTGTAATACAGTTGTTCCCAAAGAAAGGAAATAGTTTATAACTGTTAGGAAATAGGTTACCTCAGCTGTTACCAGGTTGTTTGATTTCTGATTAGTGTAAGGAATGTTATTTTCGTGGAATCATAGAATCCCTATGATTCTATGAAAACAAAACTCCTTACACTGAGGTAACCTGTTCTAATGTTCCAGACGAGAAATGTCTGGTTACAATACTGAAGAAGTTATTTGAAGCTGATAAAGTTTAAACTCAAAAATATTCCAGCACCAACAGTTCCTTTTTTTCTTTAGTGAAAGTCTATGCTCCGTTGTGTGAAAGATCCAGGAAGACTCAATCAGATGTTCAAGACAGGGAATTAAAGCCACAGTCAAATTAAGCCCTATGAATGTGAAAGATAAGGGTATTCTCTGTGGAGTGAGTTCTATAAAGGAATGCTTTTGGGATTAACAGAATTGTATTCTTATTGTATGTTTCAAAATATTTAAGCACGTGTTATTTCTTATTATTACTGTATTCTATTTTATCTTCATTTCTTTTGCATAATAAACTTCTTTTATTGTTGAACATGAATCTGCAGGATTGCGCGTTTGATTTTCATTAAAACAAAATAAACAATACATGATCTAGAAAGCCAGATTTTAGTTTATGATCTGTATTGTTGAATAATAACATCAGCGAGGAATATAACAATATTGCTGCACCAGCTGTTTCAAATTTTGGATATAGTTTTTCAATTTTTTTGTTGCCCTCTGGTACAGATTTCCAGTTCAGACTTTTCTGCTTTTGCGCTCCCTGATATGTATTATATATGATTATACGTCTGTTAAAGTGAATCGACAGAAAATCACACTTTGGTAGAACAGGAATAGATAAACCTCAATCACTGGTTTTGACACCACTGAGCTTGCAGTTATGGAATAATGCAGCAAGTAAAAATAACAAATGTGTAGCATAACAACAGCCAAGGTTACACACTCGGCCACACCTTCTGTCTCTTAGTTATTACACTTGGACTATAAATGGATGAATAGGGAACTTAGATATTTGATTAGCATTTGCAACTATTGCAATGGTTTACAAATCACCAAAGCCCTATTCCACATTAGTTCGCTTGTATGTGTCACAAAAATAAGAGTTTGTGATCAACTTTGACATGTTTTACAAATCTAATTACCTTCAGACATTAATTCAGGAAAAAATGATCTCCACCATGCGTAAGGAAGTCTACTGGTACCTTCTCAGCATCTGATGTAAAGGAGAACACAAACAGAAACAAGAAGCTACTCTGGAACAACCACAACCACAGCTCCATGGGTGATATATTAGGGAACACTTGGGTTTTAATGATTCTTCTGGCTGTCCTTCCATAATGCTTGCCTAAAATAGGAACTAAAGAAACCCGAAGACTTTGATACTGACTTTTCTGTTCAACATGGCTTACTTTCTGTAGTTTAACTTTTCAATAAGTCATGGGTGGAACTGCCTCCCAATTATAGTTTCAAAAATTGTTAATAAACTGGATAGATGAAATAGATGTCTACGAAAAATTGTAATACCTTATGAATCAGTACAGCAAAACAAATGCAGCCATAGCCTTCAGGGTTCTATTGTAATTCTCTGGTATGTTTTTAGTCTTATCTTCCACTTCCTCAATAATATTTCCACTGTTTACAGGTGACAGAAGTTAATACGTGCGCTGCAAGAAAGTTCTCTTCAAAGTGCTAACCACATTATTTCATGCGGGATTGCTCTTTGTATCAGTGTTAGAAGCTTTTTATACATAGCCCACATAAGCCACTAAAAGGGAGACTGTCTCTTGAACATCTGTGCAACAGAGAGGGAACAAACATGGCTGACCATTCCCTAAATGTGTGCAGAATTCTATACAATATTCAGCAATAGGGACTATAATTGTCTCCACCCATCACTTTAAAAAAAAGGGAACATTTAATTCAAAGTGAATCACTCAACTACTGTTAAGAGGTTAGAATTAGTCTGACAGAATGATGCCACAAACTGTCTTTATAAGAAAACAGTCTTCTTCAATGTCAAGTCTTTTTTTCCCTTTCTTTTTTTTCTTCAGAAGTTCCAGCTAACAAGCAGTCTCAGCTGAGCTGAGTAATGCACTGCATTAAAAAAAAATCCCGGGTTTTTACAAAACTCTCCAGGAAACAAAGTAACAACAAAAACATGTTCGACCTGATTCTGCTTTGCAAAGTCGAAAGCAGACAGAGGTACTGGGAGTGTATGGCTTGTATGATGCTCATATTTCTTCTTTCTCCAAATCTGCACACACGCGCGCACACATACACACTTGCGCACGCACACACATACGCCCACCCACACACTGAAATAAATTCCATGCTGTCTGACCCATGGTTGAAACCTGCTCTCATCAAGGTCCAGTTCTCATGTGTCCATTCCAGCTTCATTGATTCTTTGAGGCCCAGCGCTCACCTCTAAAACTTTGCTTCCCCCATTGTTTGAGGCTCCCGTGTGCAAATTCAGCCTGGTCGACCCATTGATGCCTTGAAGTCGTGCATTGAAATTCCAGCCTACTTGATGCCCTAAGGGTTCCACTTTGGTAAATCCAGTATTACTGATCCCCAGAAAGGCTTAGTTCTTATTCATCCAAAAACCATGCTGCTTAATTGTTATGTATCCAACATACCATTCTGCAAACCACTTAAGGGATCACTGCTAATGATTCCAGGACTACATGTGAGCCTCAAGGTATTGAAAACAAATTTCCAGATCCAGTCCATCTTGCATCATTTGAAAAGTTCATTAGGTTAGTTAGTTTTTTTAAAAAAATCAGAATGGTTTCTCAATCCCTGTTAGTGTGGTGCAAATCCAGGCTTTACATTAATTCATACATTTAGTTTTTAACAGAGACTGGGCACTCCATCTGCATTGAGGATTCTGCCTATTGTAGGGTCGTATGTTCCTGCCAGATAATAAAGGTCTTGGCTGTCTTGGTACTTCTTGGTTTTTATCATTTGTTCATAGTGCTCCAGACTGACCACCTGACACTTATGGGAGATAGTCTGTACATCGTTTTCATCTTCGTGGCAAGATTGGTATAATGCTTTCTGAAACAGCAAGAGGAACGCTCATTAAAACAAAAGTTTAGTGCTGAGGATTACATTTCAGTAAACTATTAAATGAATATTATTAAATAGTCAAATACAAGTCCCCACTAGGGCACAGCGTATCTACAATTAAAAAAAAATTAAAACCAGAATGTTATGGCTCAAAGATAACCACATATTGTAGCTTTAATATTCAGTTACAGCTCCTAAGTCAACAAAGTCGATGGAATAAAAGCAGAAATGTATCTCTCCACAGTTGATACTTAACTTGAAAATCATAACATTGCATTCAGGCATCAGCATATTGTCACTTGCATCCACATTACTGTTGTATAATACTGAGAAAGGAAATGCACTAAAATGATGGATTTGAGTCTTTAATATTGGATTTTATAAATAAAATCAATTGTCACAATGACACTCAAGGTGGTCTGTTCCTACAGTAATTGGTCTCACCTTGCCATCGTTGCATTTTTTGCCCAATTTTGTTTCCTCAGGATGATAAAACCATTTCACTTTAACCACCATGTTGCTTCCCCAGGATTCCCACATGCTTTCAATCCGGCCAATGTATGGAAGGTTGGGGCGTCCAACAGAGAGGAACACTGCACAATCGCCCACACAAATCGTCTCCTTCCCTCTCACAATGGCTTTATAGTAAAGTTTCTTTGCTTTTCCTTTCATTCCTCGTCTCTGTGGAAAACAACCAGGCTTGGTTAAGAAATTTAAAAAAAAAACTGGAAATGATGGAAATACTCAACAGGCCTGGCAGCATCTGTACAGTAAATTAGGACAATTGCCGCGCTAATCTTATTCAAGTGCTCTAGCACTGCAATGTCACCTTTCCTTTGTTCTTGATTTTCACTCCTTAGGATAATTTGCAATTTTGTCACTGAGAGAAGAGTGGATGATAGTAAACTGGCTTTCCACTCCACACTATGACTATGTTTTCTGTCCCAGTGACTTCAATTTGAAAGATAATAGGGAGAGTTGTAAATTGGGCTGCCATTTGTCACCTTTTTATTGCTTTGTAAAAAAGCTTCCAATTAACTAGTTTATTTCCAAAGTCACCATCACTCATGCCTTCATTCTGTCTAGGCTTGACTTTTTCAATTCACTCCTGGCTGATCTACCCTCCTTAAATTTGAGGCCATCTAAAACACTGTTGCTTGTATTTTAACCCACACTAAATCCCATTCCCCTATCACCCTCATGCTCACTGTTGTGTTTGCTGACCTATACAGGCTCTTGGCCGGGCAACGTCTTCATTTTAAAATTCTCATCCCATCTCTTGGTTTTTTGTAACTATATTAAGAGTAAGGGGATTACCAGCGAGAGAGCAGGACCTATTAGAGACGAAAAGGGCAACCTGTGCATGAAGCCAGACAATGTGGATGAGGTCTTAAATGAATATTTCTCATCTGTCTTCACAGGGCAGAAATACATTGTAGCCAGGGATTTCAGTTGGGACGGTGAGTTCTAAAACTTGTTAGGATTAATAAGTAGGAAGTATTAGATGTTTTAGAGGGTATAAAGGTGCATAAATCCCCAGGTCCAGATGAGATGTATCCCAGGTTGCTATGGGAGGCAAGGGAAGAGATTGCTAGGGCCCCGGCAGATATATTTAATAATTCACTGGCCACAGGTGGAGCACCAGATGACTGATGGCTAATGTGGTTTCTTTGGTCAAGAAAGACAGCAGGGATAGGCCAGTTAGTCTGACGTCAGTGATAGGGAAATTATTGGAGAATATTCTGCGAGACAGGATTAATCAACATTTGGAAAGGTACGGATTGATCAGGGATGGTCAGCATGGCTTTGTTAGAGGGAGATCCTGTCTTTAATTGAGTTTTTTGAAAAGGTGACTAAATATATTGACGAGGGTAGTGCAGTTGATGTGGTTTACATGGACATCAGTAAGGCCTTTGACAAGGTCCCACATGGAAGGCTGGTCTAAATGGTAAGAGTCCATGGGATCCAAGGCAACTTGGCAAACTGGATCTAAAATTGGCATGAAAATAGGAAGCAAAGTGTGATGGTGGAGGGATATTTTGTGATTGGAAGCCTGTGATCAGTGGAGAACCACAGGGATCGGTGCTAGGACCCTTGCTGTTTGTTATGTACATTAACAACTTAGATGTGAATGTAGAAAGGATAACTAGTAAGTTTGCAGATGATTTGAAAGCTGGTGGTGTTGTTGATAGTGAAGAAGATGATATTAGGCTGCACTCTGATATTGATCAGCTGGTAAATTGGACAGAGCAATGGCAGATGGAATTTAATTCCAGTAAGTGTGAGGTAATGCATTTTGGGAGGTGTAGTAAGGAAAGGATATACACAATGTATGGTAGGCCCCGAGGGATTACTGAGGGACAAAGGGATCTTGTTGTCCAAGTCCACAGATTCCCGAAGGTGTCAGCACAGGTAGACAGGGTGGTGAAAAAGGCATAGGGGATGCTTGCCTTCATTAGCCGGGGCATAGAATACAGGAACAAGGAAGCGTTGTTGGAACTTTATAAACATCGGTAAAGCTCCAGATGGAATAATGTGTGCAGTGTGGTTGCCACACTATCAGAAGGATATGGCTGCGCTGGAAAGGATAAAGAGGAGATTCACTAGGATGTTGCCTGTGATGGAAAGTTGTAGTTATGAGGAGAAACTGGATTGGCTGGGTTTGTTTTCCCTGGAGCAGAAGAGGTTGTGGGGGAAATCTGTTTGAAGTATACAAAAGGCATATACAATATGGTAGATCATGAGAATCTTTTCCCCATGGCAGATGTGTCGAAGACCAGAGGGCATAAGTTTAAAGTGAGGAGTAATGGTTTAGAAGATATTCGCGAAAGAAAAGAGTTCACGCAGAGGGTAATAGAATTCCAGAACGCACTGCCTGAGAGGGTGGAGACAAGTAATCTCGCAACATTTAAGGAGCATCGGGATGAGCACTTAAAATGCCAGAGCATAGGAGACTATGGGCCAAGTGCAGGTAAATGGGGTAAATAGTTTGTTTGTTGATATTGACATGGTGAGCAAAAGGGCCTGTTTCTATGCTGTATGACTCTATGACTCTTGGACAGACTTCTTAACTTCCACCTTCTTAATTATTTAAGGCAGATCACCAGCTTTTCCTTGAGGACAATTAGGGACAGGCAATAAACGTTGGCACAACCAGCAACATCCCGTGAACACACACAAACAAGAAAACTCTTTTTCTATATAGTTCAGTATACTTAATATGTTTGACTATAGGCCCATCTTAAAACAAGATTACTGATCAATTGTCTGGTCACGTGCCCTCCTGGATGGAGGGAACATGGAGATTAACTTTAAAAGGGAAAGTTTCAGGTCCATCTCCACACATTCACAGGGACAGGGGCCTCTTAACCTATCACTGCACTGGGAGTGGAGTGATTACTAGCAGCATTATAAGTCACTGATATCTACCTGAGTTGGCTTCCCGGACCATTTCCAGAGCTGTCGAGCTGGGAGAAAGGAGGAGATTTTCGGGCGATTTTCCACCGACGGTAATCTCTGTCTCTTTGATAACTCCTTGGCCTTTTGAAGTCGGAATTCCTCCTGTCTTTTTAACTTGATCTTATTCGCAGGCATTGCAGATTTGACAGAAAAGGAGGGTGGCGACATTTTTGGCTCTGTTTGTCGTGGATCTGAGGGGGTCAGCAATGCAGGCACAGGGTGTGTCATACAAGTTTGCAGCAAGACCGCAGAATCATCATCAGAGCTATATGATGAGTCGTCATTGTCTGATGAACACAAGCTGGAAGTGGAGGTAGAACCAGATGTTGAAGATGATGAAGATGCAGAAGATGATGAAGAGACAGACAGCCTAGTCATAAATCTCGATGTGACACTCTGTTGCAAGTTTCTATTTTCATCCTCATCATCAGAGTACGAACTATGGCTGTCAGTGTCACAATCCATGCCAAACTCTGACTGACCAGTGTACTCATTCATTGCTAAGCTCATAGGAAGGTTCTGAAGTTGAGTGTGCTTTCCTTTCAGAAGTTCGATCCTTCCATTTCGCTCCTTGCTTAGCTGGGAGTAGCCAGCGACAACTTTTCCTCCAAATTCCTTATCGCCCATGAGCAAGGCTTTTCCATTTTTTGTTTTTGGAGATGTCACACCTTCGTGATCTAGTTTAACCAAATATTCTGCTCCTGTTTTTCTCTTGCCACCTTTTGGAACTGATACATCCATTTTTTCTGCCCTTCTGTACTTTAGGGCCTTAGGATTTGGTGTGAGACTTGTACTGCTTCCAAAGGAAGCAAAAGTGTTAGCAATGCTGCTGAAAGAGTCGACCTCAAAGCCGCCACTGAAAATAGGAGGAGGAGGGCCTTGCACTGGAAGGAAACGCTCTTTACTTTTCGTTCTCTTTGTACTGCCGTTCAACTGAAACAGGTTTTCTAAAGCAGTGGTACTCTTACTGGAATTTCTTTTCTTTGTCTGGATGATCCCTGGCCAATTTATCAGCACATCTGTCTTTTTACTGAGCATGTGCCCTGCTTTCAGCAATGTTGAAACCTCAGTATTCAAAACTCCTTTACCTATTTGCAAAAGGAAACAGCAAACAATTATTCTTGCACAATTTCAATTGAGAATCAGATAGTATTATTGCAAGGCAATCAATCATCCCTCTGTACAAATGAGAATTATGGAAATCTCTAGATAGATACCTACTTTTTAAAATGTATTTTTGAATATTCATGTTCCTTATGCTAAAAAAACCCTGCAATTATTTATTGTTCTGCTATGCCCTGATAAATGGGCCTTGCATCTACAAGCCTCATTGCACTGAGTTGCTTTTATCACCTATATAAAATAGGTAAAGCAATATTGTGAAGCATTTAATATTATAAAATGCTAGTTTGAACACCTATTAGTAGTAACTAATTAGTGGTGACTAGTTCATCAGTTTATTGGTCAGAAACAGACAAATGTCCCTTTAACACTGTATATAGTTTAAGCTGAAGGTTTTCCAATGAGAAATTGCTCATGCAAAATAGGCCCTAATGGCTACTAGCAGCAAGTCATCAGTGAAGTCTAGGTACCCCTACTTCTACTGTTAAAGCCATAGAGAAGACAGTGATAGTTTACATATGTAATAACTGTACCTTATAGAACACAAAGCTACCCAAATACATCTCACTTCTTTGTTGCTGAAGGACTACAGTCTGAATCTCAGACCAAAATACACAGTTTTAGTCCTAAAATGTATGCAAAGCATAAACAAGTTATAGGAATACTCTGTTTTAAGGAATGGATATATTCCTGGAAACCATTCGTTAAATCTAAACAACTTATACAAAGCAAGACTTCCCATGTCAATACATAACAGGAGACGCATTCCTAACCCAAGGGTTTCGACCCCAAATGTAACATATACATGAAATAAACAAAATACTGCATAATTAAGTCTTCTACATTTGCAGTGATATGATAAAGAGCTGAAGAGAACACATCTTGATGCCTGATTGCTCTAAATTAGTACCACAAATTATATCTTCACAATATGGCCTAGTTTTGAGACATCAGTTTGTCCTTGACTCACTCATGCCCATTTGGTTCAAACCGTCAAAGGACTAGATTGTCCAAGCTAACTTTCCTCTTGGTATCAGACAAACAGTTGATAAGACAGGATCAATTCCAAGATTGGGGGTGGGGGTGTAGGGTTTGAAATGGGGAGAGTTAAACCCAAGCTGAAGGTTTCAGAGAATAGAAACCAGGCTTTTCCAGCTGGAAATGATAGAGACAACTATTAAAACGTACGCACCTGCTTCCCAACTACTTCAGAATGAGGTTGGTATTATTTCAAACAAACCAACTGGGAGTAAATATCTTAACTATCTAATAATAAAACTACTCTATTTGAGACATGTAAAATATGGTAGAGCTATATTTGTTATCAAAAGCAACAGAGAAGTGGTGATTCTGTGACATCGTGTGGCACATAGGCACATGTAAAAAGTACGAATAGGGCATTGCTGCGAACTGATATTCTTTTTATTGTATTCCACAAATACACGAGTGAGAATATCTCCAATCTGACAAATTGTTTAAATGGACAGTAAAACTGCATGCAACCAATTGTAGATGGGGTTGAGTAAGAAGCGAGAGACAAACGGCACAATTCTTCAGGTAATTAACTTGGTGGCTGGACAGTTAAAATTGCCAATGGCATTTACCCAAAGCATGGAGCTAACAGGGTTAGAATATCAACTGCTCTTCTGAGCAGACAACAAGGGCACTCAATTGAAGCTGGTGGGGTTCTTTTTTAGCCCATGCATGTCCATCTCCTCGTGAAGACATTGGGATCCTGGGACTTTAACTTGTTTTGGTGGGTATGGGTGTCAGGCAGGTAGGGGAGTTTGGTATATGGTGGCAGTAGTGAGAAGAGGCAGTAAGCTTTCTGCTGGGTTATTCTGGATTGGGTTAGAAGGGGCCCAAAAATATTTGAAGAATTTTAAAAATTATTTCCTTGCTGGGCCTGGATGAGTAGGATCACTTTTCCTGGATTCAATTTAGCACCTAATGATTCTTCTCCTGCTAAGCATCCCTGTCCTGTTGTTATGGCCCAGCACTGATCCCATTACTCATCTAGTGTTGGCTGATGCATTGGTTTATGGGTTCACTCAACCATGTTCTGCTTCCAGCACCTGTCCACTCAGACTGGTCAATGGCTGGAGTTAAAACATTCCAGGCTTCATTTCCAAAGTTATGGGTGAGTTTCTAATGGCACTCCTGCCAAGTACTGGTTCAGAGTTAAAATCTGGGCCCCACAGCCTATATCAGATCCTAAGGAGTCATTTGTATGAAGAAGTGTAGCATTGTGCGTCTTTCAATAACTGGCAGTACAGCCTGTGTCTGTTCGGGAAAGAAAGTGAAGAAACTGTTTTGTTTGTCTTGCAAATGAACCTGATTTGTTAGCTTTAATTCTTATTCTGTGCTCTGCTTGGCAAAGTGAGACAGAAAAAAAATTAATGGGGGCATATCCTGGAACAGGGTAGGACTTGCCTGCTTTGCATGAATCACAATGTGAGGGAAGTACTAAACAATTATCATGGGATCTTAACATTGTGTTACTATGCACATACTGAGCACAGCTGTGAGTTGTAACTGTCTGTTTTTTTGTGATGTCATTGTAAAAGAGTTGCTATTCTATTGTCTAACATCATTTATTGAAGGCCATTGCGAGTCCACATCAATTGATAGACAACAGTGGGAACTATTCTTCATTTATAACAGCAACTTTGACAATTGAATACCACATTTAAAAAGTATAAGATCCCTTTAACCATTCTATTAAATTTGCGTGCGTATTTGAAAACTGAAAGTGCATTTAATATTGCTCCATTCTGTCACACCTTTTTACAAGCACTACTGCTATTGCCCATTTGTTGCTCTCAGCTAGTTTGGCATGAAGAAGTGAGTGTAGGAGTGGCTATTCCCTTCTGTTGTACATTCAAGCCAACTTCCTCTTGCAACCTTGACTTAATTTACATTTATTGCAGTTGCTTGACTGATGAAATAGTCTTGCTGTACACACAGAGTCAAAGTGAAGCTTTGCAGAGCTGTCTGCATAAACTGAACACTATCTGCTATCCTGGCCAATGCAATGAAGTGAATCATGCACACTGCCAGAAGAAGATTTGTTACTTCCTTCCCCACAATGATTTTGTCAGGTTTGTTGTCCGATTTGATCCCAATCCAATGTAGAAACCCCAGCACATTTCCAGTTCTTTGTTTACGTACTAGTCCTGTTGTAATCTCAGTTGTGCTGGCGCTGTAATAACTTTACAAAATTCATCCAACAGCCAAACTCATGTGTTGCTCAATGCATATAAGTGGCATCTTTCTTCTTTAGAACATCTTTGAGCTTATTAATTCATCTATGTTTGATCTTCTGATAGTTATAATAACAAAATCACAGCAAGTATTACAGACTGTAAATTATCACATACCATTATATTATCACCTTAACTGGCAGGAGAACTTAAATGTTAACAGAGAGTGTGGTTGTGCTTCAAAATGAACCCAAGCTTTTTGAACAAACTTAGGTAACTACTAGAAGGCTTCAGTTACATTTCAGCTACTATCAAATTTTCTCTTTCAGAGGGTTGGGTGGTGCAGGTGTTTTACCTTCGGCAGCTGAATTCAAATTCCGGCTAGAACGATGAGATGAAAACCCCCTCTGACTGTTCTAAGAGTCTTACACAAAATGCTAGGGTAGTTTGAGTCTTGTTCTTAAAGGTGAATGGCCTGCTGCACACCCTGCTCGTAATTTCACAATCCCACACAGACATAGGGAAACAAAATCTTATTCTGCATCTGAGCAGGTTATGTTTGTCTTAGAATTGCTTCATTCTGATGGCTTGTGTCATAAATGAGGAAGTACTTTATGATAATATTTCTCACCCACATTAGTGCAGAAAATAGTATATATGCACATGTAAGAGTTGAACTTCTGTAAAATGCCCCTGTTATATTTTTGGCCTAACACCCTGTAATTTTCATATACATAATGTGAGTCGCTGTTAGTCTTTTATGGGTCAGAGCCTGAAAATTTCAGAAACAAAAGTATAGTCTTGAAGACATTAATGTTTTGATTTCATTATCAATGTATAAATAAATGAAAATGAGGGCTGGTAAATAAAAACCTAAAATGTTTCTATATTTACATTTTAGTTTATTTAGCCAAATTATTAAAGTGATCTGATTATGAGTGACATATAGTATGAATTATTTTGTGTTGGTTTTTTCTGTTTTCAAAGCAACCACCTCTAATCATGCCTAAATCAAGACCATAAAACACAGGAGCAGAAATTAGGCGATTTGGCTCATCGAATCTGCTCCGCTATTCAATCATGGCTGGTAAGTTTCTCAACCCCATTCTCCTGCTTTCTCCCATAACACTTCATATCAAGAACCTATCTATCTCGGTCTTAAATATACTCAATGACCTGGCCTCCACAACCCTCTGTGGGAATGAATTCCATATTTTAACCATTCTCTGGCTGAAGGAGTTTCTCCTCATCTCTGTTCTAAAAGGTCTTCTCTTTACACTAAGGATGTGCCCTTGGGTCCTAGTCTCTCCTGTTAATGGATACATCTTCCCATTGTGCACTTTGTCCAGTCCATTCAATATTCTGTAAGTTTCAATTAGATCCCCGTTATCCTTCTAAGCTCCATCGAGTATAGGCCCACAGTCCTCAAATGTTCCTCGAATGTTAAGCCATTCATTCCTGGGATTATTTGCGTGAACCTCCTCTGGATGCCCTCCAGGGCCAGTAAATCCTTCCTGAGGTATGGGGCCCAAAATTACTCATAATACTCTAAATGTGGTCTGACCAGAGCTTTACAAAGCCTCAGAAGGACATCCCTGCTTTTATATTCCAGTCCTCTTGAAATAAATACCAACATAATATTTGCCTTCCTAACTATAGACTCTACCTGCAAGTTTACCTTAAGAGAATCCTGGACTAAAACTCCCAAGTCCCGTTGCACTTCAGATTTCTGAACTTTCTCCCCATTTAGAAATAGTCCATGCCTCTATTCTTCCTACCGAAGTACATGACCTCACACTTTCCCACATTGTATTCCATCTGCCACTCCTTTGCCCACTCTCCTAACCTGTCTAAAACCTTCTGCAGCCTCCCTGCCTCCTCTATACAACCTGTCCCTCCACCTACCTTTGTATTGTCTGCAAACTTAGCCAGAATGCCCTTCAGTTCCTTTATCTAGATCATTAATGTATAAAGTGAAAAGTTGTGGTCCCAACACTGATGCTTGTGGAAGACCACTAGTCACCGGCTGCCATCCTGATTAAGACACTTTTATCCCCACTCTCTGCTTTCTGCTAGACAGCCATTCTTCTATCCATGCTAGTACCTTGCCTCTAACACCGTGGGCCCTTATCTTATTCAGCAGCCTCCTGTGTGGCACCTTGTCAAAGGCCTTCTTGAAGACCAGGTAGATAACATCCATTGGCTCTCCTTGGTCTACCCTGCTCGTTATCTCCTCAAAGAATTCTAACGGATTTGTCAGGCGTGAGCTCCACTTGATGAAACCATGCTGGCTTTGCCCTATTTTACAATGCACTTCCAAGTATTCAGAAATCTCATCCTTCACAATGGACCCCAAAATCTTACCAATAACCGAGGTCAGGCTAATCGGCCTGTAAGTTTCCATCTTTTGCCTTACTCGCTCCTTAAGTGGGGGGGGGGGATGCGGGTTACATCAGCAATTTTGGACTCGCTCTGATTCCCATGATTCTTGAAAGATCACCACTAACGCCCCCACTATCTCTTCAGCTATCTCCTTCAGAACTCTGGGGTGTAGTCCATCTGCTCCAGGTGACTTATCCACTTTTAGACCTTTCAGTTTTTCTCGCACCTTCTGCTTGGTTATGGCCACCCTACTCATCTCTGCCCCTGCTGACTCCCTTGAATTTTTGGGATATTACTTGTGTTTTCCACCATGAAGACTGACGCAAAATACTTATTCAGTTCTTCAGCTATTTCTTTGTTCCCCATTACTATTTCTCCAGTGTCATTCTTCAGTGGGCCAATGTCCACTTTTGCCTCTCTTTTGCCATTTATATATCTAAAGAAACTCTTGCAATCTTCTTTTATATTACTGGCTAACTTACCCTCATATTTAATCTTGTCCCCCACTGCCCTTCATCACATTATATACTTTCTCTTCTGCTTCTATGTTGTTCCTGACTTCCCTTGTCAGCCATGGTTGCCTCATCCGCCCTTTAATATGCTTCTTTTCCCTAGGGATGAATTTTTGCTGTGTCTCCCCAATTACTCCCAGAAACTCCAGCCATTGCTTTTCCATTGTCTTTCTGGCTAGGCTCCTCTCCCAGTCAATTCTGCCCAGCTCCTTCCTCATATCTTTGTAGTTGCCCTTATTCAGCTGTAATAACATTACAACTGATTCCACCTTCTCCCTCTCAAACTGCAGAGTAAATTCAATCATATTATGATCACTGCCTCCTAAGGGTTCGTTCACTTAAACTTCTTTATCAAGTCTGCCTCATTACACAACACTAAATCCAGAATTGCCTGTTCCCTAGTGTGCTCCACCACAAGCTGTTCCAAAAAGCCATCTCGTAGACATTCCACAAATTTCTTTTCTTGTGATCCACTACCAACCTGATTTTCCCAGTCCACGTGCATACCGAAATCCCCCATGATAACTGTAACCTTGCCTTTCTTACACACGTTTTCTATCTCCTGATGTATTTTGTGCCCCAAATCCTGACCACTGTTTGGAGGCCTGTACATAACTCCCATTATTTTTTTTTTACCTTTGTGGTTTCTCAAGTCTACCCACACAGATTCTACATCATCTGACACTACTTTGTTTCTAGCTATTGATTTAAGTTCATTTCTTACTAATAAGGCAACTCCACCTCCTCTGCCCATCTGCCTGTCTTTTTGGTAGGATGTATATCCTTGGATATTTAGCTCCCAGTCCTGATCCCCTTGTAGCCATGTCTCCACGATGCCTACCACGTCATTCCTGCCAATTTCAAACTGTGCCACAAGCTCATTTAGCTTATTTCGTATACTGCAGGCATTTGGATATAACACCTTCAGTCCTGTATTGACCATTAAAACATGTGAACACCTTCAAACTACTTAAACAGTTCTGAACGAGGGCCATATTAGACTCAAAACATTCATTCTGTTTCTGTCTCCAGATACTGCTAGACCTGCTGCATTTCTCTTAGCATTCTCTGTCTTTATTTCAGATCTCCATTATCTGCAGTGGTGTATTTTTATTATTTTCTTGAACACATTTCCTGTGCAAAACCCCATTACTTTTGCCTTAAGAGACTGGTCTCAAAAATTAAATTTATACATGGGTATATATAGTATTTGGACTTTGTCTTTCAGCTTCCTTTCAACATCAATAATACCGATTGATCCCCTTTTGCATAGAACCCATATATACTGGATTTTTGATACGTAGAACTTTCTGCGATACATATTGATGCAATTTCCTTGATAAAACTAAGTTTATTGATCTGTTGTCAATGAGTTTCAGAACTAGTCTACACATTCTATGCTTTGCAAAACAATTTTCAAAACACCATTGCGACAAATCAAGGGTCAGAATCTTTTGTTAAAAAGAGATTCTTGTTTTTTGCGGAAATTAATGAAGAAATTGCGCTGACGGTCCAGGTCCCTCACAGCCCACGGTATCGGTAAATTACACAAATAGAGAGAATGGAAAGAAGTACCTGCCTTGAAAATATTGTGCTACTGCTGTAGCATTAAGTTATCAATGTGTTTGCTGACGCCTAAGATCTGACAATAATTGCTGATTGTGCATATTCACTGCCAATTGGTTCCACCTACAAATATCTACATGCATGCGCAATATTAAGCTGATTTTAAAAATTCAGATAAAAAATTTACTTTGTTTAACACTTTAATTTTCTTTCCTGATTTACTCTTTTCCTTCATTATTAGTTACTTGTCATTCTTTGTTGAAAGATCTCTGAGGGAAGTATTGCTGTTAGTCTGCTTGTTCCTGAGTGTTAGCAAACGCACCTTTAATTTGTAGTGTTACAATTAGATTCGTGCTGAGTAAAGATACACCTACCAGCTTTCCCCTTTACTGAAGTCTTCTTGCCGGAGTTTTTACTTAGTTCTGAAGAATTTTTCCCATTCAATGAGTGATTCTGGCTGTTTTCTGCAATTTCTCGCTTCTCGCTGGGCAACTTCCTAACCCGAAGTCTCCCATTAGATACCAGCAGTGCAGGGGAAGGCTCTGTACCTGTAGAAGGAAGATATATATCAACATGAGTTTTTTTTTTACCACATTGCTTTTAATACTTTGACAGTCTTCTGCCTAACTCTGGAAACCTGAATTCAAGATCATTGGAGTTTAAAATGTAGTGTTTTTCTTCAGTCTAAAGATCAATTTCTGTACAAGTCCAGACTGACAACATTTCAGAGACAGACCCATATCCACAAACTGAGCTATACAGGTTCAAAAGCTGATCCATGCTGCCATGGGAAGGGATCACAGCAGAAATTGGCGTCACATTCTGTTGGTATCTCAGGGGGAAATCAACAATGTTCCTTGGTTGAAATCAATTTCCCACTGATAAATCCAACCATGAGGATAGCACTGGACTGATATGCATTGCTTAGGCTTCTACACAGTGACTCATTATTTGGGAAAATTATCTGTAGATGCCCAGAACCCATGAAACCCTACTCCAGCAAGGAACTAATGCCTTGGAGGGAGAAGGGAGATGGGGATAGATAAAACTTGAAATAAATTAAAAAGATCATTAAAAAGAGGATTATTTTTCAACTTAATTACCTAGTATGCATTACTGTAATATTTTGATATTATTGCGATACTCTTTGGTATATTAAACAGTGTACTAAGCAAACATGATTTCAGCAGCTCATAAGTACATGATATACTTTTATATCTATTCAATAATGGCTTTTATTTTGATATTTTGACAAGCAGGAATAATCAAGTCAGTGGGGAGCGAGAAACAGGTGGTCTTTCACTCAAACGAATAAGACATAAAATCACACGTGTACTTGTAGTAGTAACGAACTATGGGCTCCTTACTCATTCTCAGAGAGTCACTCACTTCTAGTATCTAAGTTATGGTCTACAATTTGCACTTGGGTGTCTTTGAAAGATATGGTAAATGCTCATATAATGATTGAGTCATGGAACAAATCATTGAGCCACGTAGCTTGGGTAGGCCTTGGATGCAATTCAACTAGTGATATGTTCTGACTCAATGGTCTCAGTCTGGATGATGGTAGTTGTACTGGAATTATCAATGCTCCTTGTACTAGAGGAGAGATACAGTTTCCTGTCCTGTACTGGAATTATCAATGGTCCTTGTACTAGAGGAGAGATAGTTTCCTGTCCTGTACTGGAATTATCAATGGTCCTTGTACTAGGGGAGAGATAAGGTTCCTGTCCTAGCTGGTAGCCTGTGCTCACTTCTGGCACTGCAAATGTTTGGGTTCTGACTGAAGAAATGGGTGATGCTCCCCTGTGCTTACATAGCGTGCCAGTGATAACTGCTGTAGCTTACACACGAATACTGGTTGCTGGGCAAGGACTCAAAGTGTGGCTGCTGCCTATGGGCTATATCTGAGAGGAGAAGTCAACACTGCCAAGAAGGAGGGAGGAACTTGCACAGCAACAGCTCCTTAATGTGTTGATTTAGTCTTAATCCGAATGTTCACGCAACTTTCGTATAAAATAATATTTTTACAATGTTTTAGCGAAGATCTGTAGCTCAGGTTGTGACTGGAGTCGTTGGCTGGTTTGCTGAGCTGACTGGTTTTGGTGCAAACATTTCATCCCCCTTCTAGGTGACATCTTCAGTGCTGTCTGGCCTCCGTTGAAGCGCTGTTGTTCTGTTCCATTCTGATTTATATGGTCCGATTTGTCATGGTGGGTAGTTCTGTTTCTGGTTTTGCTCCGTAGCGGTATGTAGATGGCGTTTATTTCAACATGTTTGTTTATGGTACTAGTGGTTGGAAACCAGGCTTCGAGGAATTCTCGTGCTTGTCTTTGTTTTGCTTGTCCTAGTAATGTTACATTGTCCCAGTTAAACTGCTGTCCTCCTTTGTCAGAGTGAATAGAAACGAGGGAGCGTTGGTCTTGCCATTTTGCTGTGAGTTGTTGTTCATGTATCCTAGTGGCGTGCTTCCTGCTCGTCTGTCCCATGTATTGCTTCTCACAGTTGCTGCATGGTATTTTGTATATCACGTTTGTCTTGCTTGTTGTCGGTATGGAGTCTTTCATCTTTGAGAGTAGCTGGCGAAGTGTGGCTGTTGGTTTGTGTGTTGTCCTTATTCCAAGTGGTCATAGGAGTCTTGTAGTCAGTTCTGATGTGTTTCTAATATAGGGTAGGGTGGCTAGTGTGTTGGAGCATACAGTGTCTTCTTGGTGTTCTTTATTTGCCAGGCATCGGTGGATGAAGCTGCCAGGATGAAGCCTATCAAATAACACCAACTCTCCCTCATTTCTATTCACTCTGTCAAAGGAGGACAGCAGTTTAACTGGGACAATGTAACACTACTAGGACAAGCAAAACAAAGACAAGCACGAGAATTCCTCGAAGCCTGGTTTCCAACCACTAGTACCTTAAACAAACATGTTGAAATGGACGCCATCTACATACGACTACAGAGCAAAACCAGAAACAGAACTACCCACCATGACAAATCGGACCATATAAATTCAGAACGGAACAGAACAACAGCGCTTCAACGGAGGCCAGACAGCACTGAAGATGTCACCTAGAAAGGGGATGAAATGTTTGCACCAAAATCAGTCAGCTCAGCAAACCAGCCAACGACTCAATATTTTTACAAAACACCTAAATAGTGTTCAGCTGTCTTTTGGCTAGAATTATGAAATACATAATATACATTTAGAATTTACAAAACATTGTCTTCAGAGTTAGATATTTGGGAGATTTTCCAAGTTCAAATATATAAATTGTATGTAAACATTCTAAGACCATTTCACAGTACTGCAGCATTACTCACACTGGATTTTATAATCTGGAGGGAGGAGACGGATATTTGACAAAGAAATTCGCCCCACATCACCATCATCAAACTCCACAGTGACAAAATCACCTCCATCCTCTTCTTCTTCCTCTTCACTGCTACTACCTGCTGGACAGAAAATGAACAGGTGATGCTCTGCTTATAAGGAGGATACAGGGAACAAGAGGTGGCAGCTTCGTGCTTTTGATGTTGCATTCTTCTGTTGATTCCTATTTGTAAAATAAAGTTATGTGCAGAATTTAAGACAAAACAGTAACATTCACCACTAATTCAAGTGTTTATATGTGTGCAACTTCTTAAAAAAATTAGCCATGCTACAATCATTTCAAAATTGCAGATTTCAGCATAGAAATATTATAATTCTGTACATACTCAAATCAAGACTTCTACTTCGTGTACAATATTGACAGAAATTAATTATTTATAGTCCAAATAAACAGTATTCACTCGAAGGAAAGTGATGTAAGAATTGCTGACGCATCATCAATTTTATCTGTAACATAACATTTAAATTCAATCACATAAAAAGTTATAATTCAAGTTTGCAAGGTGATGTTGTAATGCTAAGGCTATGCTGATCCTCAGCTCTACCTGAAGGCGAAGGAGATTTCTTGTATGGATTGTACATTCAAAGACTTGTTAATCTGGTTCTAAAAAAACCCTTTCCAATCTCACTGCACAAAATACAAAATCAAAACCTCTGACTCTCCCAGTTACTGTAACAGTTTTTCCCTTTTTTAAAACAGATTCCCTGCCTATGTATGTCTAAGACCCCTCTCTCATGGATCTGCTTTGATGGATTTATAATATAATCCAGCTAAGGCAACATTTGGCCATTCTTAAAAAATCCCCAAGCATAATGTCCGGCTATAGTCCAATGCTGTTTGTTGGATCTTCCTGTGTGCAAATTGGTAGTTGAATTTCCTAAATTTCAATACTGCCTAGAATTAAAATGTTCTGAATTGGCTTTAAAACACTGAGGAACAGCCTGTGGTAATAAAGAGTACCTTTACTCTTCCCCAAATTCACACAACGTGTGATTCAACATTTCAAACGAAGCATTTGACAATACAGAGAACATACTGTGTTGGTAATGCTGGACTTAGTCTCATATTGTACACATTTAAAAGTGATGGGGCTAATTCCTCTAGCTCAGCTAGAATTCAAGGATTTTTGTAGAGTAATTAAGTATTCAGTCAGTGCAGATACAACACCCTTTGATTGGAGAAACCAGGCACTGTTGACTGGTAACAAATTTAATAATATCCCAAAATACAAATGGATTGATCATTTAGAGATAGCAAGAACTGCAGATACTGGAGTCAGAGACAATATGGTGTGGAGATGGAGGAACACAGCAGGTAGGCAGCATCAGAGGAGCAGGAAAGTCGATGTTTCAGGTCAGGACCTTTCTTCAGAAATGGGAAGGGGCAAGGGAGCTGGGAAATAAATAGAGAGGAGGGGTGGGACTGGGGAAGGTAGGTGGGATGGTGATAGCTGACTGCATGTAGGGAGTGGTGGGGATTGGTCAGTGGGATGGATGGGGCGGATAGGTTTGGAGAGAAGACATTGCGTTTTGGCATCGTGGCCAATGTTCCCTCTAAGTTAGCTCCAATGTTCTGGGCACAGTGATCGGTGTGCCGACATGGACCACAGCATTAACTTCCTTTTCCAAAGGTCACTGTCATACACAGACCTCGGAGGTCCACATAGAGCTCTAATTATATGCCAGTCTGATTATAAGGGACGTTTTCAAGTTATAATATATGAAATGAATGCATTGATTATGGATTTGAGTTCATTCTTTAAGCTGTCACAGCTATGACATTGAACCAGTTAACCTTCTCCCACCTCCTTACCCAACCCCCACATACCAGGCCTTGTCATCACATGGGCTGCTATTACGCACAACCCATTGTTAACCAATAATAATCTCCATTAACAGCCATTCATTTCCCGGGGCTGACCATTATCCATTCCTTTGTCTGTCCAACTGTCCTTCTCTCCCTTTGGGCTCTATCCCCACCTATTGGTTGTTCCTTACCCCTTCCACCCACCCTATCTTCTGCATAAAAACCAACTTTTTTCTAGCTATCATCAGTTCCGAAGAAGGGTCAGTGGACCCAAAATGGTAACTCTGATTTCTGTCCACAGATGCTGCCAGACCTCTTGGGCTTATCCAGCAATTTCTGTTTTTGTTTCTGCTTTTCAGCATCCACAGTTCTTGCAATTCTTTTCTGCATATAATTACCTCTATCATGCTGAAAATGACCCCTGGAACTAACCTGCAAGGAAATACACTCTGTCACATGGTCTAAATAGGAAATGTGCAACTTTACACTTGAACAAGCAGTCAAATGTGGGTTAGATTTTTAAAAAACTACCATGAAAGGTACAGTAGCAATATATGTATCAAATACATGTCAAATGTCTGACACCTTTCTGTGATAAATATGACCATTTTTTCTCAGCTCTTTAGCTGTTAAAAATCAATGTCAATCTGAAATTTAGTCAAATAATACATAAAATGAGCATAATGATGCTACTAAGTACTGGTCTAATCTTCATGTAATTGAGTGTAAAGCAAGGCCAGATTTTAGTACTTTTTAAACAAGGTTGAATGACTATTACCTTGGATGAGCACCAGTGAAATACCTGCTCAGTTGCACCAGCACTTGAGAATCAGCCTCTAAACTAGAGGGTCACACATTTGAGTCTCCGTTACAACATTCTGACAAAACATATCTACTTCATGTGCTCTCCACTAAAACACAAAAAGAAGTGTTATATTTTATTGGGATATATCTTGGATAAGAGGAGAAACTTAATATATTGGGATAGAAATTAGTTTCGCCCACTTTCAGGGGTAGAATCAATGGCCCAAGCAAAAAGGCCAAAGGCTGGGCCAAAGCTAGGCCTGATTAATTGTCTTGCATATAAGATGTCTCTTCTATGTTCTATGTACTGGAGCATCATGCTCATTTTTGAGAGGTAAGTACAGAGATAAGGGGAGAGAAGGAAGGAAGGGTAGGACAGAGGGAATAGGATGGGGGAGAAGCAAAAGCGGACTGGAGGGAAGAGGAGGAAGTGGATGGAAGGAAGTAAAGGTGTGATGTAAGGTGATGATTTATATACAACGTTATTCATTTTAGAACTTGTATTTTGAACTAGTGGCATGTGGGTTTGGTCTGTCTATGCAGGAATTTAATGATTAACTTGTATATATTTCTGTAGCCATAGGATTTATTTTATAAAATAAACAGTAGAAGAGAGAGACTTCCTGAAGAGTAGTAAAGTTTTGTTTTAATTGTTGAGTTTTATGAGCCAACAGAGTAAACAGGTGACATTAGGTTTCAGGTAGAGGGTTCTGAAATTTCTTTTTAACTTAAGGGAAACACCCATAACTTGACAAAAGCCCTTTTGGTTTCAGGGTTTTGCAGAAGTCTTGGCACAAGCCGGATATGAAAAATGGCTGCTTCTGAAGAAGAGAACTGTTAAGAAATAGATTAGCTCAGCATAAGGAGTCTATTTGAAACTCCCAGACTAGAAATATTTGGTTGAAACCCTGAAAGGATTATTTGAAGCTGAGAAAGTCTAATCCTAGTTGTATGAGGATTCAAAAACCAGGCTGTGAGATTCCCAAGACAGGAAATTGAGGCCACAGTTAAATGAAACCTTATAGATGTGAAAAAGAAGAGAATTCTGTCCAGTCTGAGTATTGTAAAAAGAGTGCTTTTGGGATCACTCTGTGTGTTTTGAAATCTTTAAACCTGTGTTGTATGTGAATAGCTTGGTTTATTCTATTTTATCCTTATTCATTTTGTGTAATCAAGTTTTTTATTATTAAAGCTAAATCTGTAAAATTGCTGTGAGAGAGCACCTCTTTAAAACCGAAAACAAACCAACAAAATTTGATCTATCAAGCCAGATTTCTGCCTGGGATCTGAACTTGTCCAATAACAATATCATTTGGCGTTATAGAAAAGGACAGACAAGGAGGGGAAGGGAAGAAAATGAGGTAGGAAAAGGAGGAGGATAGGGAGGGAGGCATGGAGGAAAGAAATGCAAAGTTACATTTATATAACACCTTTCTTAACCACCATTACAAAAGTATTTTACAGATAATTAAGCTTTTTTGAAATGTGTACACTGTTGTAATAGAGGAAGCACAGTGGCCAATTGTAGTCTTCAACCTTTCACAAACAGTAATGTGATAATGACTAGACAATGTTTATTTGTATGATGTTGATTGAGGAATAAATACTGACCAACACACCCGTGATAACTTCTTTTCTCTTTGAAATTTTGCCGTGAGGTCTTTCACATCCACCTTAGTCAGTGGTTTAATGTCTCACCCTAAAGACAGCACCAGTGACCATGGATAAGAGATAACAAGGTGTAGAGCTGGATGAACACAGCAGGCCAAGCAGCATCAGAGGAGCAGGAAAGCTGATGTTTCGGGTCTGGAGCCTTCGGGAGCAGTCCTTCATTCGAACTGTACTGGAGTGTCAGTCGACATTTCTGTGCTCAAGTCCTGCCGTGGGCTGGAGTTATGTGTCATTTTTTAATGGCCCAAAATTAACACCCAGGAGTGGGCCTACAGCAGTCAACTGCAAGGACTGTCAAGTCTGTGCAGGACTGCTGTCATTCCCGGTTCTACATGCAGCTTTGAAAAACCTAGCATTTCATTGGCAAATGCCTCTTCTGCTCAACTCTACTGAATTTCTGCTGGGAACCTAAAATGGACACTAGGTGCCTCACGTAGGGACACCTGCTTTGGTAGCTGCCAGCTGATGCCTGAAAAGCGACACAACTGAACTGTTCTGATGAGAGGTCACAACCTGAAGTGTTGACTCTTTGTGTCTCTGTCTACGAATGCTGGCCAATTGACTGAGTATTTCCAGCATTTTCATGTTAATTCCAGGTCAGACTCAGACTCCCTTGGGTTGCAACAGTATTGCTCTCTAAAACAAGGCCTCATCGTATTCCACAAGTGCAACAATGTCCAATTGCTATCTCTTTACCTTTTAGATTACTCAAGATTAAATAATCCTCCCAATAGCTAATTATGGCCATCATGGAGGTACCTGTGACCTTTGTCATCTGCC